GATCCTCCCTCAGACGAAGATGTGGATCCTCTCGCGGATGGCCTGGCGGCAGATGGGGCACACGGTCAGCGCCGTGCTGCAGTCCGGGCAGGAGCCGTGCCCGCACTGGAACACCAGCTTGATCTGGTCGTCGATGCAGATGGGGCAGGTGATCCTCTCCTCCATCTGCCGGTAGCGGCTCTGCAGCTCCTCCATCAGCTTCCTCTGCTCCGTGCCCTCCGAGCTGGGGCTGCACTCCACCTCCGTGCTGTCTGTGGGCACAGCTCAGCCTTAATGAACTCATTAACCTCCCTTCTGCCCTCCCCGCAGCACCAGCCCACGCACACTGCACTCTGCACCCAGCCTCAGCCAGGGATCAAATAAAAACCCTTGGGTGATGCTTTTCTTTTTCACTGGCTCAGTGGTTTGTGTGGGTTTGAATTTTCACTGTTGAACCACCCCATGTGAAACCTGACTGCTTCCAATACACAAAATAAGCCAGGCCTAGGAAAAGCTCCCTTAAATGTTCTGTTTGTGCAGCTTGAGCTTGGCTTAGGACACCTGAGAAAATCTATTGAAATCCGCTTATTTTTCCTCTCTAAAGGTGGATAATGCTACAGGCACACATACACACAAAAAGACAAAATAAATGAGCTCCTATTTGACTGGAAATCACTGATATCTCTCAAACCAAGCCTGTGCAGGACCCTCCCCACAGCCCTGCCCAGCAGGCCATACCTTGTTTCAGCTTTTTGGTTATTGTCACTTGACATTTGATGCACTTCTTCATCCTCCTGGAGCACTCTGCCACGAGGAGAGATGACAATTAAACACACAACAGACCCAGGAAGATGAGATTTGAACAACCTGAGGCTTCCCTGGGTGGTTGAGGGATTGCTCTTGCATGGAATGAGGAGCATTCTGCCTTCTGAGCTGTGCCTTACTCTTCTTTTATTTAATCTTTTATTTAATTTAAATTTTAAAAAAAATATATTTAATTAAATAAAACAGTATTAAATAAATTAACTAAATTAATTTATTTAATACTCTTTTATTTAATCAGATCAGCAGCAAACACAACAGCTTTAAATCCTCCCTGCTCTGAGCCCCTGGAGCCGCTGGGGAAGAGGATGAAGCTCTGGCACAGAGTTCTGAGCAAACTCCCCGTGCTCCCTCCCTCCCTCTGTGAGATGAACTTGCTGACAAGCCTGAGCAGGCTGCCCTCAAATCAGCTGAAATCCTGAGGAATGAAGAATTAGGAGAGCCACAGGAGAGGGAAATCCTTCTCAGGAGGTTTCTGGGGGATCAAGCAGTGCCAGGCAGAATTTCCCTCTGAATCCCCCTGGAGTCCCGAGCAGCAGGTGGGCAGAACATTCTGTGTTCTCCAGAGATAACTTTGGCTGAAATCACGCTGGGGTTGCTTCAGGACACAAAGAGCACAAAAGCTCAGTGTCTGAGCGGGGCTGGATTCTGACAGGGCAAAGAGAGGCTGGGGAGAAAACCATGAAAAAAAATGTGGTGGTGTTCAAAGGGGTCTCAGGACTAGGGGGGAGATGAGAATGTTGACTCTGTGTTTCAGAAGGCTTATTATATACATATTATATTAAAAAATATATAAAAGAACATATAAAATACATATAATATATAATATATATTATATTATATTATACATTATATATTTTAAATATATTGTATATAAAAGAATAAAGGATTTCAGCAAAAGGCATATTTTATGTATATTATACACTATATATAATACATAATATATAATATACAATATATTATAGATATTTATATATAAAAATTATATATATTATATATATTATATTATACACTATATATAATACATAATATATAATATATAATAAACAATATATTATATGCATTTATATATATAAAATATATTATATATAAAAGAATAGAAGAAAGGATTTCATCAGAACACTTGCAAGGAAAGGAATGATAATAAAATCTTGTGA